CCAGAATGAAGGATATCTATGGATTTTTAATTGGTAGTTGAATGAATTGACTTATTGTACTCTATAGTAGCTAATAAAATTAAATCAACAGTTTCATGCAGGTTTCTTTCGAGTTTCAGGCTTGCTATTTCAGTCAAAGTACTGTGAAAACGCTCCACTTGACCATGTGATGTACTATGTAATGGAGGAGCGTTTACAATTTTCACATTATTGTATTCTAATAATATTAATTTTATGGTATATGAGTTCAGTGAATTTTCATTGTCACCGTATATTGTTTTAACGTTCGGAAAAATATTAATTAGTTATATAGCTGGTTTTACGTCTATGATGGTCCTTGATGCAATTTTTTGCACCATAGCAAATTTTGAAAATTGTTAACTCTTGTTAAAAAATATTTCTAAGCCGTAAAGAAAATAATATATGTAATATTTCTTCGATGCTTTCTGGTACTGGCGGAATAACATGTTTTAATGGATATTGTTCGTATTTCGATTTTGAACAAATACGACAATTTGTTGCTACTTCTTTTGTTTTTTTTTAACCATTTTTGAAAAACGGTCAAGATCTGCTTCCCCTTTTCTTGTGCCACTATATAAGCTCGGTTATGCTCGACAACTATTATTTTGTTTTGGTCACCTTCGTTGAATATATCTGTAGCTATTTTTTCTGTATGACGGAACTTTACGTTGTTTAACCAGCCGGTGCTGAATTTTCACTAAAACTGGTAGGCTGCAATGTATTGCATTTACTACGCTATCAATAATAACCTCCTGCGGCGTTTTTAATAGGGACTCTATTCTATAGAATGAAATCTGCCTGTTTTTTGATCCAAATATAAAGAACCGCCTTGATAGGCTTTCGCCCTCTTGAAGTATTATCTGATTATCCACCGTTTCAATGGTGTAGGTCAGTGGCTCTTCGCTGTGCATAGAGCCACAGTCAGAGCGTGCTTCCATTTCAACTTCCATCATATCATATCATATTCCAGCGTTTAATTTTAGCTTTTGGATTTTTATCCGAAGTATAGGTTGTTAAATCGAACGGTTTAGTCAAATCAGGATACGTTATACTGACATCTTCAGAATAACGAATTTTTTTAGGTTCACATTCTGGTATATAATTAAACTTAAATTTTTTTGACTGGATGGCACCTACTTTAGATAATTATGTCATCGATGTAAACGGGGAATTTCTTGCCAATTCGGTCCATCAGAACATCATCGATTGGTCTTTGAATATTACTTGGGACGTTTATAAGCCCGAGAAGCAATCGGCGAAAATAATACTTGCCATTGTTTAAAGAGAAGGCTGCAAATAAAGCGTGGTAAAGTATTGGGCACCCTTTAACTTTGACAATATCACCATTGAACTTGGCATCGGATAATCGTACTCGATTGTGATCTCATTCAGTTTTCTGAAGTCAATCACCAAAAGGTTCTTTGTATTCCCTGCTTGATCTATGCTTTTTTTTATCAACAAATTATTCAAGGGGGAACTTGACGGACGAATAATGCTATTAGCAAGAAGGTATTAGCTACTTTTTTGTTTATGAAGTCAGCTACAACCATAGGATATGGATAGAATTTGTAGTACACTGGTTTTTCGGTTTTGATTTTAATATTAGCAATTACATTTGTATTGAAGGGCAGAGACTCGTTAGGATCTACAAAGAACTTCTGTTTATTAGTTATCATTTAACAAAACTGATTTCGGACAGCAGACGACATCTCTTTGCTTCTTACATTAATAAAATTAACATTTTGCCTTCGTGGAACGACAGGTTCTCGTTTCCAAAATTGTGTCGTATTATTTCTTTGCTTAAATCTATTTGAGCATTTACTTGGTTCAGTAAATCTAATCAATTAATCAATTATACCGTCAAAAATTGATATATTAGATAGTTTGACGCTCCTGTGTCCACCGCAGTTTTATTTATTTTCTCTTGATATTTTTTCATATATAACATCTCCACATAAATATGTCCTATGCCCTCTCTATCTGACCATTTGTGGTGTTATGATTTGGGTTGCAGAAATTAATTTCAATTTGAAGTCTCTGCATCAGGGATGTAAATTGTACCGTAGTAAATCCTGGTTCATTATCAATTGTTATTCTCTTTACATTAGGGAACCACTGTAATATCTCTAACACTTTATCTTCTAAATTAATCTTATCTTCAATTTGTTTAATAACTAAACACTTTGAATAACTATCGATACATGTAATGAATTTTAATGATTGTGCATAAAATATATCTATGTGTATTTTTATTCCCTCCTCTTTACGTATAGGGACCTCTCCAATAGGTAGTGACCTTTACTAAGAAGTATTTGTTGCTTGAATTGATTCAATGGTTTTTTGGTTTCTTGAATTTGTGTATTATCAGAGCTCAGTGCTGAATGCTGTGTGTCCATTTCTGATGAATCATTAGTTGTATTATTTACGTTTTGTCGGGATAATGCATCCGCGACTATATTAATTTTTCCCGGTTTATAAATCATTTTTGGAGCATATACCTCAATAATGGAATGCCATCTTTTCATTTTTACCTTGGGATTTCTCGAAGAGACTGCGAAAGTCAAAGGTTGGTGATCTACATTTATTTCTAAATCTCATTCTCCATAAACGTAGTTTCTTAAAGTTATTAATGCCCAAACTATGGCATAAAGTTCTTTCTCATTCGTTGCATAATTCTTTTCTATGGAATTCAATGCTTTAGAGATAAATGTAATAGGTTTTCCATCTTGCCTTAATACACCACCTAATGTACCGTTTGAGGCATCGTTTGCTAATATAAATTTTTATTAAAGTCTGGTTGACTTAATTCTACTTGATTGGTTAGTAAATGTTTTAATTTTTCAAATGCTAAAATTGCGTCCCGTTCTAAGCGAACTTCAATTTTCTTTCACATTCTTTTTTGTGTTATTCTGGTAGTTGTATTATAGTTTTTTTTGTTATTGTAAATCATTTATTCACTTGTGGAATTTAGTAATTTTAATGTTGTTGTAAACTATTTATTCACTTGTGGAATTTAGTAATTTTAAAGTTTTATAAAACATTTATTCACATGACGACTTTAGTAATTTTAAAGTTTTGTAAAACATTTATTCACTTGTGGAATTCAGTAATTTTAATGTTCTGGTAAAACATTTATTCACTTGTGGAATTTAGTAATTTTAATGTTTTTGTAAAAAATTTATTCACTTGTGGAATTTAGTAATTTTAAAGTTTTATAAAACATTTATTCACTTTTCGAATTTAGTCATTTTAAAGTTTTGTAAAACATTTATTCACTTGGGGAATTTAGTACTACAATTATGTTGTTGGAGAATTCGTCCTTGTTTGTTGTTTTATTTTAATTTTCTCCACCCGAGAGGATACTTGATACTTGTTATTTTCTTCCTCTTTTTTTGCCTAGGATATCCCTTAACAAATGTAACACATGCCCCACGTTGTTGGGCGCCAATTAACTTCCTCCGTTTAGGAAGTGTTAAAAAATATAGTCTTCCGCAAACGAGTGGAAGAAATCAAATATGATAGTTTGAGTGATCCTGATGGATAACTGATCTCTTTATTTCAATTTACTCTTATTTATACAATATTCTTATTTGCCTAATTCATACAATAAGTGTCAGTTACAATATTCGCTTGTTCAGTAATTGCTTTTATTGTTTACATTTTATGAGTGGTCTTAGCTTAATGAAAAAATATTGGTTGTTTAAATAAGCAAAGATGCTTATTAAGAAGCTGTGGTCTTAGCTTTAATGAAAAAGAATATTGATTACTTAAATAAGCAAAGATGCTTATTAAGAAGCTGTATTATTTGCTAAGTGCAAAGATACAGTTTTGTTTATAATTAGCGTAAAGCTACTGTGTGGAGGCTACCGTTAACTTGCATATATAATATATCGACGCAGATTTTGCGAGCAATGAAAAATATTTTTTAGTTGTAAAATATTTTTAATCGTTTGCGGGTTAAAATTTGCTTGAATTTTTTTTTGTGTACTCCCCGAACATGCGTTTGCCAATAAGCCTCTTTTCGCAACGATGGCAAAAGCTAAAAATCGTAAAATGAACAACTTTCTGACGTTCCTTCTGAACACGAAAAGTGTCAACCCCGCAAACACAGAAAAAATTGACAAATATGGCGATATAGTTCTTGTCGATTTAAAATATTTTACAATGAAAAATATTTTGCCATGGCTCGCAAAATCTGCGTCCATGCATAATATATGCATGCTCATACATAAACATTTCGCATGAATCAATTAGAGTACATATTTACATACATATGTTGCATGTAGACAGATATACAAACATTACAGGTGTTTATTTTCGTTACGGAATTTCTTGATTCGGTCTCCGCTCTCATATTCCGCGATAAAAGGTATACAACAGCTTAATAATAATGTTACTCATATAATATTATGACTATGAGTATTGAATACTTTATTTTTATTAATTAAATTTTTTCCAATTCCACATTTTTTTTGCCATTAAAAAATGTTTCTTTAATATTATGATTTTTGAATCACCCTGCTGTCTCTTCAATTGATTTGTTCCGCTTGAGATATGCGAAATACGATACGCCTAAAAGCATGCAAATGCTGAGCGCATAAGGTTCATTTCCGTTACGAAATTTCTTGGTTCGGTCCCTGAGCTCAAAGCCTGAAATAGAAGCTATGCAATAGCTTAAAAAATCGATAGTATAAATATTTGATAAAATTCAAGTCTTTGAACTAGAATACCCCCTTATAATAATCTTTGCTCTTCAGAAATTTCTTTTCTTTTTATACGACAGTATTGCCAAAATCTGTCTGAAAAATTGAGTAGACTTTTATATACATAAATGGTTAAATTCACCATAATGTGGCCTTTCTCGATTTATAGGATGATAAACAAATCTTCTTTTTCCTAAAAGATTAAACTTTTTACAAATATGAATGCGATTTTTACTTAAAAATATAAAACAGACTGCACTTGGCAACGACATTTTAACAATGAACCGCTCAAAAGTGCCGTTAATTAAAAAGCCGTCTTAAATGGCTAGTATTCAGGTTGTCATGAATATTGTTGAGTAAATTTTGAGTGAACTGGTTTTCACATGTGCTAACATAGGTAAGCCTACCTTCAAGCTTACCACTCCATATTTGGCGGAAACACTGAAAGTGAGCAATCTTAATTGTAATCATTCTAAGCAAGGTGGTTCTAACCCTAAATGTTTAAATTTTAAAGGTTATGCGCTTAATGTACTAGAACAAAAAGCTTGACATCTTTAATATTGAAAGAACTCAAAATAGTTTCAATATCTATAGAAGTTCGTATCAAATAGGCCACACTTCGTCAACAGAAACCAGAACTTTGAAAGTGAGAGGAAAGATATAGAAAGCACAACATTCTTGATATTCATAAGGTTCATTTTTATTATACATGTATAATAGGTATAATAAAAATATTTACACAAACCCGAATCTATATTAAACACAAATAATCGCATTTCCTGTCATGTAATTAATTTTCATTTCAGGTTGTAAAATCAAAGCTCTTCGCGCAAAGACGAATACTTACATAAAAACACCAGTTCGTGGTGAAGAACCAGTTTTTGTAGTTACTGGTCGTAAAGAAGATGTGGCTAAAGCCAAGCGAGAAATATTATCTGCGGCGGAACATTTTAGCTTAATACGTGCTACACGCAAGCCATTAACAGAAAACAACAGTGAAACAGTAAATAATAGTATGGATGGAAATAATTGTGGATCAAATGGCTTTAGGAAGGTACCGCCTGGACCACAGTTTATACCAGGTCAGGTAACTATACAGGTCAGGGTGCCCTATCGAGTTGTTGGTTTAGTGGTAGGTCCTAAAGGCACAACTATTAAACATATTCAGCATCAGACACAGACATATATTGTTACACCATCTCGCGATAAAGAGCCAATATTTGAAGTTACTGGTTTACCTGACAACGTTCAATCAGCACGCAAACAAATTGAAGCTCATATTGCCCTTCGTACAGGAACTTTACCTACGTGTGGTGGGAACAGCAACAGTTCTGTTATACTGTCAGGCTCAACAAATGATGTGCTAGCCGTCCCCAGTTTGAATCTCTTAAGTCAAATCCTAAAGGACCCCTCAATAGATTCCGATTTACTTGTGTCTCTTTATAAAGCCGACCGCATACAAAATACTTTTGAATGCGAAGAAGAAATAGGTGCTTCAGTGTCAGAAACGCAATACGCAAATAAAATAAATTTTAATATAAACTGCTTGGAAAATAATTCCATAGAGAAAAAATCTTTTATGAAAATATTGCAGGCTGATAATACACAGTTCCAAAACTTTAACTGGACACACCAAATTCCAGATTACATAAATTATACAACTAATAATGGTAATTTAAAGAAAGCAAGTGAGTCTAACATCCTTACAGATGTGGATCATCTCAACCATCAATCACCTCTGCAAAAACCGCACAACATGTCAACGTCGCAGTCTATTTCGAGTGTAAACCATCAGTTGCAACCTTCACAAAAGAATCAGCCAATGCATTTTGGCAACCTTGGTTGTTATATACAAACAATTAATATTGCAAACAATTCTACTTGTTCAGGCAACACGAGTACAAGTGGTTTGACTCATAAAAAGCATAGTAACTCTAATACACAAAACACCAGTATATTGACCAGTATGGCTCGATCTTGTTCATCGGCTTCATCAACTGCGTCATCGAAAAGTGCAAATAACAGTGGTTGTGGTAGCAGCAGCCGACCAGAACTTATTAATATTTGGAAAACTTTGGGCGATTCCATTGATATGGATGAAGGAATTGGAGATTCCCCGAATATTTGGACTTTACCTCCACCATTGGCGACATTAACAGGGTCTAATTGTTCCCCATCAACTTCAATAAGTCCGACTGATTCACTTTTGGGCGATATTTCTGCACATATCCACCTAAACAATATTGGCATTAATAACGTAATAAACGAATCACATCACGAGACAGATAATACTAAAAATGTATTACAGCAACGCCAATTTAAAAGTGAGGATGGAATACAATGTCCAGTTAATAATTTAACGAATCAACGACGTGATTGTTTGATCTGTAAAAGTAAGAAAATAACTGCTGTTTTGGTTCCATGCGGTCACAATATGTTCTGTATGGAATGTGCCAATTGCATCTGCGAATTAGGTGATGCAGTTTGTCCCGTTTGCAGTTTAAGCGTTTACCATGCTATGCGAATACTAGCATAAGAATGTACACGCCGAAGAACAGTAAGTAAGAAACTAGATTAATTCAAATATTTGTTAAAATTATTCGTGACCTATTCAAATCTATAAATTATTAAGAGGGATTCCATTGACGAATCCCAATAAATCGTGTCAATTTATATTGTTATGCATTAACTTAACTATATTTTTGTCATGTACAGGTTCGTACATATGTACCATACATACGAAAAAATAACTGTTACTCAATTACCCAATAAAATATTTCTTACACAATAATTCATATATAATATACAATACAAATTATTAGACATTTTAAAAATATACTAGAATTTGCGATTTCAATTGTACGCGTTTGAATAATAAAACTTAAACGTATATTTTTGAATTTGAAATTTTAATTTTCAGTTGATAGTACTGTTGAAAAAAGTAATATATCTCTCAAGCATTAAAGAAAAGACAGTAATAAATAACAAGTTCCAACTTTTGTATGAGAAATTTTCGAGAGCAAAATCAATTTGACAAATATAATTGAGAATCACTTACATACCAAAAAATAAGAATGTCACTTATCGTACATTTTTAAGTCTACTTTTATGTATGATATCAGTTATGTAGAATACGTATAAAAATATGTATCAAAGTATATGTATATACCAGAAGTACATATACTGCTTTATAAATTTATGTGAACTTCCATTTAATTTTTCCATTTGCCTTCAAAGTATGAGATTATTATGTGCATGCAAAAAAATGTTTTGCTAATATGAAAAAAATTAGTTCCATAGTATCGCCGAAAACTGGTCGCAATTAATTCTCCCAACGAAGTGGTCTCATTTTTAAGAAATCAAATCTGTTTTCACACTTGGCCTCATCTCATCGCATTAAGCCTTCTCAAAAAAACAGCGACCTGTACTGTTAGTAAATAACTGCAACATAAGTAATGCTGCCGAACATAAGTAATGCTGCCGAAAGGTTTAACTCCGAAAAAAATATTGCCTCATTTAAAACCCACGCGTCTAAAAAATTGCCTGTTAGACCTTTAAATGTTGCTCGTAATAATACGCCTTACCAAAATTATGCAAAATCTATTCGGTACTTTCTCTTGCCCCATATGTCTGAAATACCTAAGCCTCCCTTCTGCATATAGTGATTTTCAATGTTTTACTAAACTTTTATGTCGAATATATGTGAACTCACCCTGTAGTCACTAAACGTAACAGCATGCAATTAAAATGTCACATAAAATTCTGTAATTAATGCACGAGTCTAAAGATAAATCAAAATATTTTGCAACGAAGTGGTCTCATTTTTATGGTAACAAAGCTCTTTCCACACTTGGTCTCATCTCATCGCTTGAATCTCAAAACAAAAAGGTGATCCATACTGTTAATACAGAATTGCAACATAATAAGAGGGTATTCTATTCTAGAAATTTTAAAATATCTAATTGTTTTCTTACATATTTTGGTAGTTTAGCTATTCAAAAATATCTCTCTAAATTGATTTTTCAAAATTCGAATTATTTTTAAAGTTATAACTGTTTCAGTGTCGTTGCAACTTGTCCGGTTTAGTTTTAATTTAAAACTTTAAGCGCGTTTATATTATATTATACCCAATATATCAAGTTCTACAGCACCGATTACGTGAAATTGTAAGATATTCTTTTTTATAGACTTGTCTATGTCAGGAACTAGCCATATCCCCAAATTTGAATTTTTACTATTTTTAAAAAATTCGAACAATCAAGTAGTAAAAAAAATGGTCAGATGTCGCCTTTTCTGAATTTTTTTTCCCAACTTTTAAGTAGTTCTAGACATTGCGACATTACTCTAGATTAATAATTTTTTGTTTTTTGGGTTCAGATTACTAAGAAGGTTGAAATCGTAGGTATGGTCACGTGCCAATTTTTTGAGACCTCTACTTCATCTGCTGCTAGTTTTTGAAATTTGAAATTTTTTCCTGTATTCTTGTAATGTAAATAATTAACTAATAAAAAATGGATGGTTAAAATATGAATTGCCTTCAGTCGATAGTGGTTTGGGTGATTGTCTGGGTCTCATCTCAGAGCATGCCCAAGTCAGCCCCATTTTCTTTTGAGAATCTTGACCCACAAGGGTGTTTTGTTTGTGCATGACCATATGTCCGTGTTAGAGACGGTGATGGGTCAGAAAATGCGGCAAATTTGCGAAGGTATCGGTTTTTGAAAACGTAAATAGCTGCAGCTTTTGGATGTCAGAGTATACGAGATACCATGTTTTGTAGCCGTAGAGAAATGTTGACTTAATATTGGAGTTGCTTGCTTGCTTGGCTTTCCTTATACGATGGGTGATGTCTTGCTTTGATTTACAGATATAATACTACCCAAGTAACAAAAGGATTTCACATTTTCGAGTTCTATACCATAGACTTGGATGTTTTGCGTATAGGTGGTGTTAATATGCATTTCTTCGGTTTTGCCGATGTTAATTCTGAGACCTACTTTCGTTGCAGTTTCTTGCACCATAGCTAGTTTTTTGGCACATCAGACACGGTGTGTGTCTTTAACATATATCGTCTACATAGTCTAGGTCTTCGAGCCGTCTATTTACACCCCAGCTTATTTCTTTAGTTTCGCGCGTAGCTTTTTCCATTGCTAAATCCAAAAGGATGTTAAACAAAAGTAGGGTTGGCAACCCTGACGGACATATTTCTGCTTTTATTCGATTACTGAGTTTCGAGGCTTCTTTATTGTGGTTTCGTTGATAAGGGTATACGATTGACAGGTTAACAGCTTACCTATCCAATTCTGGTCTCAAGGTGTTGACTGCAGCCTTCAGACCTTTTGCCACGTAATTGCATTTACTCAATGCAGAGGATAAGGATATACCGCCTTTAATACGGATGGTTTCCCAACTTGTGAACACGCAACGTATAACTGCCCATGTGAAAAACAATGATTTTCTAAATTTATCCCGCAAACACTAAGCGATTGGCCATGCGACTTGTTAATTGTCATTGCGAACGCAAGGCGAACTGGAAATTGCAATCGTTTGAAGTCAAACGGAAGATCAGTCGGAATCATTGGTATCCGAGGAATATATACATTTTCACCTGCGTACTTTCCGTTAATAATGGTTGCCTCAATCAAATTCGGCATAAGTCTTTTTACCGAAAATCGAGTACCGTTGCAAAGTCCCGTTGGATTCAAATTACGCGATATCATAATAACTGTACCAACTTTGAGTTGCAAGTTATGTGGTGGAAATCCTGGTAACTCCAGAGAGTTCAAAAACTCCGTTGGATAATTTACTTCATCATCGGGATTTGTTATGGAATCAATGGAATTGTATGTCACCAAATCGCCAGCAATTTTTGATTGAATGGTGAAACTCAGTGCCTGTACATCATTATTCTTTGCGGCAAGAATTGCTCGTTGACTTAACCAAGCATAATTCTGATAATTCGCACTAATGGTTGGGAAAACATTTTCAAAAATAGCTAATTGAGAGTCTACAAATCGGCAAAAGTCGTTGGTAAGAGTAATTAATCCAGATGTCGCATCAACTGGGACTTTTCCATTTCCAACAGCTAACAATTGTTTGGAAAATTGTGCAGCAATTTGATCATTTTGAAGTTGAACTCTCATATTAGTGGTCCATAAAGGTGATGCCTTCAGGCAAGCATTCAATTCATCTGCAGCCGTCCACGGGGAATTACTGGCAACGTCTGCCTGAAATTGCCTGCCAACAATAATTGCAGCAACATCATTAACGGTGGGTGCATTGAATCTTCGCACATGTTTACCTGTTGGGGTACAATCCGCTCTTATGACAAATTTGTGCGTATCCGATGGCATTCGTTCCAATGCTGTTTTGAACATATTAACCACAGCATTATTAGCGTGAAAAAATGCTTGCAACTGTTCAATAATTCGTCTCTTTAACTGTTGTGTTCCCTGTATATTGCACCGCTCATTCAGCTGATCCACCATCGACGAAATGAAATATATTTGCAGAAATTCATGCGGTTCATCTGGTGTTGGCACCATTGAAGAATACGGTGTAACTTATGATCGTGTGATCGTGTTTTTTTTTGTTTTGTTTTTTGTTTTTTATAGTAGGGGGAAGCATCGAAAGTCGAAGTGCGAAACTTTAATCCGCTAAACCTAACCTACTTTCAACCCAAATCTCTCCCACGGAACCACTGGACAAAGTATTACTTCATGGGAGAGAAGAAGACATTTAAGTCTCCTCTACGATACGGACTAACTGACTCCTAATCTGTTGTAAGTGTCTCAATCTTTTCATTATCAAAGCTGACGCTTCGCTGACTGCTTTCCATTTAATAGAGGACTCACACATAAGTGCTGTCAAATTTTCCACCGAGAAACTACCGCCAAGTGTGGTTTTCAGATTTTCTCTTATACTTGAGAACCGAGGGCAATGGTAAAAAACATGTTCAGAGTCTTCAATACACTCTGTACACGTCGGACAGTACGGACTGTAGTCATGACGAAATTTGTAAAGGTAGCTTCTAAAGCACCCATGTCCACTTAGCATTTGGGTCAGGTGGAAATCCAGGTCCCCATGCTGTCTATCTATCCACGGTCTGATGTCTGGTATCAGTCTGTGAGTCCACCGTCCTTTGGATGAGGTTTGCCACCGTTGCTGCCACAGCGTAATGCTCTTGGTCCTTTCCTCTCTTTTTATGTGATGGTGTAGTGTGTGGTGTATATGTAGTTGTTATGTGTTGCAATTCATTGTTTTGGTGTGAGTGATTGGTTATGTGTGTCTTCTCGAATGATATTAGCTCCAAAGGAAGTCATGCGAAAGCAGTTATTGTATTCAAGGATGTGTTGAAGAAAATGGCTGGAATCGGGATCACTTCCATCGAACAATGGTTTCAGTGGCTGTGGTGGTGTAAGTAATGGATCCAGTTTGACTTTTCCACTTGCGCAGCACAATCCAGCCGTTTCTCTTTTGAACTTTAACGCATTGCAATATCGGCATATAGTCATCATTGGTCCAATATCTAAGTTTGCATCATCACTGTAGTTCGCAGTG